CTACAACAGCGTAACGGAAGGAGATGGTAAGCTGCCGTTTTAAGCATACTCTTCTTCACTGATGAATATGACTTGCGTCGTAAGAAATCACCACATCGATAATATCAGACAATTTGTGGGGAATATGCGATGCTTCTCAGGAAATAAAAATCCCACAGGGTTCCTCCTCGTAGACCAATGGACCACTAAGTCTTTGACGAGCTCAGATGTATTTCTGGGGCCAGTGCCATCGATCTCGATGGTTATCTTTTTAGAATATGCAATAGACGAAATCTGTGTATCGCGAATTTCGTCTAACATCCTCGTGCGAGGGTTGGCCGGTTGCAGTGCTACTGAATAGTAGCGGCGGCCAAGCAGGCCTTTCGTCGCTTCACAAGGTTACGTGCCGACGGAATACTTGACATTCGAAGCGTTACTTTGTGTTGCAAGACGCACTTTCAAGCCTGTAATCGGCATATGGGGCGTTGAAACCGTGAATCCACGTCAAATTTTGAAGGTATTCATGTTTTTGAGGCAACCGTTGTGCATTAAGTTTTCATTTCTACAAGGTTATTTTCTTCTCAGTCGCACTAGTATCTTATACGTGTGCACTGAATTCTAGTTTGTTTCTTCACATGCGTATGACTCTGTGCGAGAATGGGGAAACAGACGGCTTAGCTCTAAATTGTCTTTCAAAATCGTCGTAGCACAAACAACCATGAATTGGAGTCTAGGCGGGTCAGGCGGATGGTAAGTTGCTCTTGCCAAACGGCCTTATCTCGATGCTTCCACAGTCCAATATGCTCCACATCTTCGAAGGGTCGGATGCAGCCCGGGCTGCCACGTAGGCCTCACAATCCCTAGCTACAGAGAGTCTTCGAGTGCACTGTGAGCACGGAAATGACATTAGCATACCAAGTTTAGTAGTGTTTGTCCCTGTGCATTGTTGCAACATCTTGCGAACTACAATGATCTCATCAAATGAGACACTGCCTTGTGTGAGAAGACGACGAAGATGGCAAATGCAGTAATGCACCTTCGGGAAAGGAACAAGCATTCATTACGATTTGCTTGAGTGACCTAGCCGTCAAGTTACCAGCGTGTGGACTTGGAATTTGTCTGCGGCCATAAGAACCCTCATGCATCTGGTCCAGTTGAGCTCTGACGAGTCAGGTAGCCTGCAGAGATCGTTCAGTTTGCACTTCAGAATGAACCGTACGGGTGGCTCTAATGCGTACCTATCCTCCTGTATCCATTCAATGAGTATGATGGCTACATCACTATCCATGTCCTCTAAAGCAATAAAGCTGGAGTTGGCCTCCTTGAAGCTTCCTGCTGTTTGAGTAAACAAAGGATTATCCTGGACAGTCCATGCGGCTTACCAGAAAACATTCTTTCAAAGACCGGGGAGCGGCACGAAAGGAGGGCTTTGCTGCAAAGAACTCCTTTTGAAGGCGTACGCATTCGGCACTGGTGTGCTTCGGAGTCAAGTGTCAACATACTTCGTGATCCCACTTGAACAACTACACGATCTGACCACAGATGGATCGGCTGAATTGAACAAAGCAGCAGGCGTGAGCCCTACCAGTTGCCTCCTTGAAGAATCTGAAGGGAGGCGTTGACATCGACTTCGTGCTTCCCGTCGTGTCATACACTTACTTCCCGGACAAGTATTCAAACACGTCGCACTGCAGCGAACCAGGTGAAGCTCCCCTATTGGGCTCTGCGTCGATGTGGACAAGACGACGGAGAAATCGCATCTCCACCTTCAGTACAAGGCGGCTGCCAACCTAAGGACTCTATAGACATTTTTGAAGAGTGGTACAAAAAAAAAGCGCTGACTCGAAGGATGTTGTGGTCCGTCCAGTTAAAGAAGAAACGCACATAGCCGCGCTTTGCTCTGCAAATTCCGACTGTTTCGCACGACGAGATCTCTTTGTATTCATCTCGAGCATCCAGCAAGGTGAGTTTTGTAACGTCTGGTAGGTCTGTCACAGCCCGTGGAACTTGAATTTCAGATTTGGCGCCACGATAATAGAAGAGTACTACCTTCGGTGCCTGTGTTCGCTCATGAAAATGTTTTCAAGACCTGCTTTCCAAATGCCACTACCTTCATTTGATATCGTAATTGTGAGTGCGTCCCAGTCCTCTCGATCCCCTAAGAAGGCTCTCCTTGCAACAGACAAAGAAAGACTCCCAGCAGGAACAAGATTACCATTTGGACACAGCCTAAAGGAACAGATTTGACCATATGGCTCTTTACAGTGGAGGCAAAAGCGTAATCTTAATCACCACAGCTGGAGCTCGAGACCGGCTGCTTGGCCGAAAGAGCCCAAAAACAACACCGTTCCGTGTTCAAAAAACTCTACGTTGCTGTGAATTGCTGAGCATAATCTACTTCGTAGAGAATATCGTATCCACCTTCCGAGTCTTCCGGACAGTCAGGAAGCGCCTTCTTCTTCGCTGAGACGAAGCTATGAGCACTCAGTGGCTGTGCGTACGAAACCCAATGGTCTCTCGTACCGAGATCTCTCAGCAAGTCGAACTTTTCAATCGTAACCTTGTGCACGAGAAGCTGGAAAAGTGGCTCCACGACGCCTTCCGACATCAACACGTTCTTGCAATCCATGGTTTTGAATTTGCGCGAGAAATAGTCGAATCGGCTCATGGAAATACATCATCGTCTAACGAACGTAACATCCTTGTTGCTTTCAATGTCAGCGGTGTGCCGCTTCTTGACAACTGGCCTGCTGACAAACCGTGCGTCTGATAACGCCAAAAAATGAGCAACCCGCGCTTCTGAAGCAACCCAGACACCTGAAATGAAGGCACATATCGCAGTCACCTTCAGAGGTACAGACAGCTGAATGGGTGACTACCCCTCAAGATCACGGTCACTTTTATCCTTTTTTTGCAACCGCCGTACACGAAGCACATTCCTTGCACTTAGCGCTCCGTTTTCGACAGGAACTCAAGATTTTCCATAACTTTCACTTTTGGAAGGACGTTTCCCAAGCTCGCCTGCATTCTTGTTTTCATGTTTTCTTTCAGTAAGCTGTGTCTGGCAAATTATGGCGGGAATGCTGTAGACTTCTGCTACCTCCTTCCCATTTTCTTCTTTGGATGATCGCTTTCTGTATCTGCTTGAAAGCTACGGACAGAAACGCGATCTTCCAGAGACGCCCTACACCTTGGAATCCAGAGGTTTGGAGTAGGTACATCCCTTGCTTTTCGTGTGAATGCTGGCCCCAGTGCCCAGAAAACAGTAATAGTTCTTCCAGGCAGCGAGATGCAAAACAAGTATACCGTCAACTTACGTGCAATGCAACATTTCAGCGAAACACGGATCAACTGTAACGATGATTCAATATGGAAAGAATGTAAATTGAATATATGCAGTCTTTCAAGATGAGTTACCCAAAAATTCAGTGTGTACCACCGCACCTTCACGGTGCAGGCGGGCATTGTGAAGTACACATGATTAGGATGAAATGCAGCTTCCAGTGCAGGATCCGCAGACTCGAAGCTGCGTAGAATAGCCAGTGGCAGGGGGATATCCTATTCGGATTCATGCAAGTAGTCATTTAATTTCTTTGTGTATAGTGTGGCGCTTTAGGAACTTGTTGTATTTGCGGAGTTGAAGAGGTTCAGGCGTGTTCCTTCGGTTTTTGGTCGTTGTGTACCTTGAAGGCGGTTTTCCCTCTGCTCGCGCTTCGGTGCATTCCAAAATCACAAAGTTTCTTCGTTCTTTCTTCTTCATTTGAAGATCTGTTATAGACCCTGGAACAACCTGTTTGTGGCGCCGCAATCCTACTTGTTCAGAGATCCCGAACTTGCTGCCGATCACGGCGCATGGCCCGCCAAAAAGCCCCCAAGAGCGCGTGCGAGTGACGTCGAAGCCCTCTGTTGATGTGAGCTTCACTAAGAACAGTATAGCCAGGACGGGGAGAAGCTTTGGGCTGCGTCTCATCTCTGCAGAACTACATGGGAGGCGCAGAGGGGTCACGGACACTGGCGAGGCCGGAATCCTCTGCGTGTCTGTGTCGTTGAAGAGCCATCTGGGCCTCGAAAATAATTCCTCTTTGATTTTAGCGGAAATGCGCTGTCTGAGGGTCAAGCATGATTTCCTTTCAGCAGCGCTGGCCGCAGTAGCCTTCTTGGCTACCCGAGCTTGTACAGTAGGATGGCGGTTTGCCCCACATAAAAGAAAATATTTGTCTTGTGTTCGCAAGAAGAACAATTTGCGAAATCTCTTCCGACTACACAGTGCCAATTTGGGGAATATTTAGCATCAAAGAAGTCTTTGATGTGTTTGGAAATGTCCTCCTCCTTCTCATACTTGGCAGTGGCAATGGCTCCCTGGGACAGTGCATCCTGGTACAAGTCGGACTCTGGGTCGATATCGGTGACTGGAGCTATCGGCGCTGCCATTTTCGTGTATATTTAAAACCGTAAAATGTATTCAAGTGCTTGAGTTAAGTTACTTTCACACAGTTCTCCTGCACTGAACCCCGGAGCTTTGCTACCGGGTTCTTTCCAGGAATTGCAGCTTCTTGTTTTCTCAGTTCCGTTGAGCGCAAGATCTCTACAGTTTTTCTCAGAAGTGCGTTAAAAATATCCCACGGGGGGAATCAGATTCAATTCTACGGTTGGATTGGAGCAGTTCTGTGGACATCCTGTCGTCATGGAAGCTCCGCACCTCTGGAGCTGCTGCCAACTGCGTCGAATGATCTACTACAAGAGAGCTAGTACAAGTAGGGCCCACTTAGGGTTGACTGGCTGCGTGCGTTGGTCCTGAAGACCGGTTCGAAATCTTGAAATATCTTTTGTTTCGACTTTAGATGGCGGGTGTAGGCTTGTTTTTTGCAAATGGATTGGGCGTTTCCCGCTGGAAGGCGTGAGCGTATGTCTTCTGTTTTGTGCTGGCGTTCCTCCGGGGCTGTGCGTTTCCCTTGGATCGCGTGGGCCTAAATGGAGTCCTTTTGACTTTTGGCGAGGATTTAGCGGATCGATTTGAGGCGATGCAGGCGGGCCGTCTCTCTGGGTTGGCGTTCGGTGCGGCGTCGGGTTGCAGCTGCATCCCTTGTCCGCGGGTTCGCGTGGCTGCAGGCCGTGGCTTTCCCCCAGCTGCCCTGCGTCCGCTGTGCCTGTCGACGGGCGCCCCTTCCTCGGGCGTTCCCCTGCAGGCCCACCTCCCCCCGCGGGAGCGCCCGCGCGGCCAGCCGAGCGGCTGGGCCGTCGGCTGCGGGGCGGCGCCGTCGCTGTGCGGCTTGCCGGGGCTGCTGCAAGGCGCGGGGAGGTGGCCGCGGGTGTGCGGGGCTGCAGGGGCGGAGAGCGCGGGCGTGGGGGTGGGGTGGTGGCGGCTGGAGAGCGTGCGGGGGAAGATGGTGAAGTCCTCTTCGTACCGGCGGCGGAGTCGGGCGTCGCCGACGGGCCAGGCGCAGAAGGCACACCTGGGGCCGGTGCGGCTGGCGGGGGAGTTCGTGGCGCCCGGGACAGTGCTGGTGCGGCAGCGGCGGTGGGTGGCGTGGGGCTTCGAGGGGAAGCGGCGGCGGCGGCACGTGAAGCTGTACCCGGGGGAGAACGTGGGGGTGGCGAAGGACTCTTCGCTGGTGGCTTTGGTGCACGGGCGCGTGAAGTTCACGCGGGAGGAGTCGCTGCTGCTGCTGGAGCAGCAGCTGCGGCAGCTGCAGCCGCAGCAGCTGCAGCAGCGGGCGCTGCCGCGGATGCGGGTGAACGTGCTGCCCGAGCCGCGCGAGGAGCTGCTCGCGCAGGACCTCTGGAGGTACCGCACGGAGGCCGTGGCCTCCCCCGAGGAGAACCGCCTGCTCTGCGCCCTCCGCCAGAAGGGCCGCCAGGCCTTCGACTGCCCCCCACGAAACCCTCCAAGAAAGCCCCTGCCCAGGCCCAAGGCCCTCAGCAGACACGACCCCTGGCAGCCCAACACTCTTCCTGACGCGCCCCCTCTCTGTGAAGACAGGTGACCGCCAACGCTGCTGCTGCTGCTGCTGCTGCAAGTGCTGGAGGTGGAGGTGGAGGTGGAGGGAGAGAGGGTGTGGCAGGGAGAGGGTTCTGCTTTGGACGCTTTGAGGTCTTTTTGCTTTTTTTGAATTTTTGGATTCCGACTGTTGCTGCACACGAACGCACTCTCCTATCTGCTGCTGCTGCTGCTGCTGCTGCTGCTGTAGATGAGGAGCAGGAGGAGGATGGTAGTACGAGCAAGTGGAGAAAAGAGAAATGGTGGGGAATTGAAAGAAGAGGAGTGCAGGGAGGGACAATAGACGAATAACTGTACATGACCAGAGGGTTTAGGGTTTAGGGTTTAGGGTTTGGGGAGCGAGGGAGCCAGCTTTTAGGCAAGACCCATGAGGCCTCAAACTAACGAGGCAAGCCTCGACAACTAGCCATAAAGTAGTTAGCTGTTCGTTAGCTAGCCAACAAATTACTAGCCCGCAATTAGCTAGCCACCAAGTAGCTAGCCATTAATTAGCTAGTCATTAAGAATGGCTGGCTAGCTGCCCTGGGGCAGCTAGCTAGGGGGCATCTAGCCAGACACAGCTAGCCCAAAAGCTGCCGGCGAAGAAGAAGCCGTTAAGTAAGAGGCCAGCCAAGGACTGGCTACCTGGGCCAGCTGGCCAGTTAGCTGAGCCAGCTAGCTAGCTAGCTGGGCCAGCTAGCTGGCTAGCTGCGCCGGCTGGCTAGCTGCGCCGGCTGGCCAGCCCTTGCTAACTGGGCCAAGCTAGCCAGCTAGCCATTGAATAATGACTGACGTGCTTATGGACTTAGTGCGGGGCGGCAAGTTGCAAGGGCTTTCGGGTGTACAGACAGCTCAACAGCCAGCAGAAAACGAAGTGCAGAAGAAGACAAAGGATCCAAAGCACGCAACAGGCCAACAGAAACAAAACTTAGAGAAGCGCATGCATAGAGCTAGCGGCGCTGCATGCAGCAGCAGCTGCTGAAGATACTTGAGGGAAGTTAAAGTTTGAAACGAAATTTAATTTCTTGCTGCTTTACTTTCTAGTTAAAGTGGCCAGAGAGTTGTGCTGCAACGGAGAGCACAGAAGCGGCGGGCAGCACCAAATGGAATAGAAGTGACTCTCGTGTTGCTGCAGTCAGTGTCTGAAAAGACGCCAGAAACTGGGGTGTACGTACACCCCAGCGCGAGTTGAATGCCCAGGCGGTAATTCAGAAGACGGAGAAATGCAGCATCGACGCCTCCGCGGGCGGAAGAGGCTCTTCTGGGCCCTTCTTTTGCGTTAATGAAGTAAAACTGTCATATTCATGCCTTTATTCCACTTTTAGTTCCCCCAGAGAAGAAAGAAAACAGTGAATTCAAGACGCAGACCCGGGCCGCAGGTTGCCACGGAGGCGCTGGCATACGCCGCGGATATCTCCCTGTGTGTCCCATTGAATTGACTCTTCCAGCGAATATAAATAAAACTATTAAATTTAAATTCAAAAAAGCGGAAACACTTGCAAAAGGAGGCGGGAAGCGCGAGGGGGGCCCCTGCTTGCCGATGCTGGCAGAGCCCCGGCGCTGCAGCTGTGCAAGTTGCTGCAGCTCTTCGCGCTAAAGCCCAACCAGCGAAAGCTGCAGCTTAACTTGAAGGCCCACGCAATTCCTTTCGAAGCAAAGAAGTCTTTTTTGCTTTTGTTCTCGTGTGCTGCGCCTCCAGCGCTTCTCTTCGCCGGGGCCCCTCAAGCCGTTTCTCTCGGCAGCAGCTTCGAGGCCGCTCTCTTCTCTGGCCGTTCGGGTGTACGTACACCTCGCTGCGCAGCCGCGCTGCCCCGAGCGCCGCGTGTCGGGGTCGCGCGAGCAGCAGCAGCAGCAGCGGACCGACAGCAGCAGCAGCAGTAGCAGCAACATGCGGCTGGCTGCGGCTGTTAGATGCATGCACGGCCCAATGCCCGCTTGCGAGAGATGAGCAGCAGGCCCTACAACAGCCCCAGCGCCTAGGGGTTTCATCTGTCCAGCAGCAGCTGCTGCTGCTGCAGCTGCTCCCGCACCCACTGCAGCCGCCGCTGCAGCAGCAGCAGCAGCAGCAGGGCCATGCTGGGCCGGCTCGTGGCGCTGCTGCTGCAGCGGCTGCTGCGCAGCTTTGGCCTGGACGCAGCAGAAGTGTCTGCCAGCGCCCGCGAGGGCCTGGTGGTCAAGGGCCTGGTTTGCTGCTGCAGCAGCCTCAGCTCTGTGCTGCTGCTGCACTCGCTGCTCATTGGGGAAATTCGAATTGAGGCCTCATGGAAGCAGCTGCTGCAGCAGCTGCTGCTGCAGCAGCAGGGGCTTCTGCAGGTGCACGTACACCGCGTCTATGCCCTCGTGGCCACGCAAAGCGACCTGCCCACTGCGGGCCTCAACGCGAAGCAGCAGCAGCAGCAGCAGCAGCAGCAGCAGCGGCAGAGCTTGTGGACGCGCATGCATGGAGTTTTTTTCTCGCCCCTGTGGCGCGCCGTGGGGGGCCTCCTAATCAGAGGCCCACACGCTTCCAGCAGCAGCAGCAGCAGCAGCAGCAGCAGCAGCAGCAACAGCAGCAAACCGGGGCGTCTTGGCATTCAGCAGAAGCTGCTGCAGCGGGTTCTGCTGCTGCTGTCTCGAAAGCTGTCAGTTCGCATTGAAGATGTCCACCTGCGGCTGGAGGACGCAACGGGACGTGCGCATTTTGCTGCAGCAGCAGCAGCTGCTGCAGATGGCCCGTGGGAGCAGCTGCAGCAGCAGCAGCAGCAGCCACAGCAGCAGCAGCAGCAGAGGAGAAGCAGGAGAGCCTGCCAGCCACTGAGCTGCAGCATAGACGTGAGGCCAGTGCAGTGCGGGCTGATAGCTGCTTCCGTGTCTTTGACGCCCGGAGCAGCAGCAGCAGCAGTAGAAGAAGCAGCAGCAGCAGCAGCAGCGCCAGCAGCAGCAGCAGCAACCGCTGCAGCTGCGGGCCGCGGGCCCGGCGCTGCGCGGCTGCGGCGCCTCTCAGACCCCACACCTTTAAAAGCAGCAGCAGCAGCAGCAAATGCAGCAGCAGAAGCACCGGCTGCTTCTGCGGGGTGTACGTACACCCCAAGCTGCGCATACACCCCACAGCGCAGCGCCCTCTTGCGGCTGCAGTCCTTCCCCCCGCTGTGCTGCACCTCGGGCCGCGCTGCTGCAGCAAACGGGGCTGCGCTGCCCGCTGCAGCAGCAGCAGCAGCAGCAGGCGAGGAGGAGGAGGCAGCTACGTCGCAGACGGCAACTGCTGCAGAAGCGGCGGCAGCGGCAGCAGTAGCAGCGACAGAAGTTGCTGCAGCAGATGGTGCCGCAGCAGCAGACAGTGCTGCAGCAGCAGACAGTGCTGCAGCAGCAGCAGCTAGCGCTGCAGCAGCAGCTCTGTGGCGTGGCTGCGATTACGAAGGGGCCTTGTCCCTAGGGGGAGAGGCCCTAGACAGCAGCAGTAGCAGCAGCAGCATTAGCAGCAGCAGCAGCAGCAACAGCAGCACGTCACAACTACTACCAAGCGCCAAGGCGGAAGCAGACAAAGGCGCTGCTGCGAACCAGCCGCAGCAGCAGGAACAGCAGCAGCAGCAGCAGCAGGGGTTGGAAGGCGTCAGTGTTGTGCAGGCAGCAGGCGTTGCTGCTTATTGGAACTGCTGCTGCTGGAGGCTGACTTCGAGGCAGCAAGTGAAACCCGACTCGTCAGCCTTTCTTGCTGCCTTCCAGCAGCAGCAGCTGCAGCAGCAGCAGCAGCAGCAGCACGGGTGAGCTGTCAGCTAGACAAAGAGACACGAGCAGAGACAGCAGCAGACTAGGGGACTTGGGAGCAGCAAAAGGATAAAAATAAAAAGATAAAAGATAAGAATAAAAGACAAAAATATGAGAATGAAAAGTTAGAATAAATAAAAATGTAAAAAGATAAAAAGGAAATGAAAGAAAAGAAGCAAGAAGACAAAAGTGCTGCCAAGCTGCAGCACGAGGGCCTCAAAGGCTTTAAAGGATTTTGTGTCCCTCAACTGTCTTTAAATTATCTCAATTATGAATTCTAGACAAAGACCTGCTGGCTAGCTGCTGGCTAGCTGCTGGCTAGCTGCTGGCTAGCTGCTGGCTAGCTGCTGGCTAGCTGCTGGCTAGCTGGTGGCCAGCTGGTGGCTCCTAGCTGCTGAGTAGCTGTTGGCTAGCTATTAGCTAGCTAGTGGCCAGCTGTTGGCTAGCTATTGGCTAGCTGCTGGCCAGCTGTTAGCTGTGTCTACTAGCTGTTGGCTAGCTGTTGGCTAGCTATTAGCTAGCTGTTGGCTAGCTAGTGTCTAGCTGGTGGCTAGCTGTTGGCTAGCTGGTGGCTAGCTGTTGGCTAGCTGGTGGCTAGCTGTTGGCTAGCTGGTGGCTAGCTGTTGGCTAGCTGGTGGCTAGCTGGTGGCTAGCCGTTGGCTAGCTGTTGGCTGGCTATTAGCTAGCTGTTGGCTAGCTGTTGGCTAGCTGGTGGCTAGCTGGTGAGTGCTGCTGCGTCTGTGTCCGTTCAGGTTTCTTTTCCACTCAGTCACTTTCGGCCTGTCTTTTCGCTGGGCGCTTCGCGGCCTCGACGCAGCGCTTTGCAGCAGCAGCAGCAGCAGCAGCAGCACGGATGCTGTGCTGCAAGACCGGGAAGCAGCAGCAGCAACGGCAGCAGCAGCAGCGGCAGCAGCAGCAGCAGCGGCAAGCAACACTTCGGCTGCCGACGATGGAGGGAAGAGGGAAGCGGCGAAAACAGCCTCCCAGGTGTATGTGCAGCCGCAGCCGCAGCAGCAAGGAGGGCAGCAGCAGCAGCAGCAGCAACAGCAGCAGCAACACGCGCTGTCTCTACAAATCGATGCTGAGATGTCTCCGCTCTTGCTGCTGCTGCGGGAGGAGCAGCTGCTGGATGCTGCGACGCTGCTCTGCTGGGTGGCAGATGTTCACCGGAAACAGCAGCAGCAGCAGCAGCAGCAGCAGCAGCGACAGCACGCGGACGGTGCGGCGTTCTCGTCCGCTATGCAGCGTCCACGCGGATCAGCAGCAGCAACAGAGGCAGCAGAAGCAGCAGCAGCAGCAACAACAGCAGGAGCAAAAAAAGGAACTTTACCGCCTCGCCCGTCCTGGCTGCCGCCGCCTCTCTTTTCTCCCCCAAATGTGCTGCAGGACAGCAGCAGCAGCAGCAGCAGCAGCAGAGCATCTACTGTGGGTGAGGGGCTAAGTGCTGGGTCTCTCTGTAAACATTCTGCTGCGTTCCCTGCTGCTGCTGCTGCTGCTGCTGCTCCTTCAGCCTTCAGCGTTTCTGTTGTTGCTGCGGCCTTTCGTTTGTCGGCCCCACAGATTGAGGTGTACGTACACCCCAGACACAGACAGGCTGACCTGCTGCTTTCTTTTAGAGGCTCCTATTTGGCCCTCAGAGTCCAGCAAGCAGCAGCAGCAGCAGCAGCAACAGCAGCAGGTGGTTTTGCTGCTGCTGGCGTTGCTGGAGGTGGCAGGAGAAGATCCTCCCTGTTGTCCTTAGATGGTGCGCAGCAGCAGCAGCAGCGGGAACAGCAGCAGCAGCAGCAGCAGCAGCTACTGCTGTCTGAGCTGTGCCTGTCCGTTGCTTCTGCTCGCGTTGAAGGCAGCGGCGCGGGGCGCTTCTCTGTGACTTGCGGGCTGCACACAGCCAGCAGCAGCAGCAGCAGCAGCAGCAGCACCAGAAGCATCAGCAGCAGCAACAACAACGGCAGCAGCGCGAGCAATGGTCTGGCTGCAGCAGCCAAGACGCCACCAACAAACACAGCAGCAGCAGCAGCAGCAGCAGCAGCAATGGCAGGATCAAGAAACGGGGCGAGTAACCCTCGATCGTTTGGGGTTGGCCGCCCTGCCTCGCAGCTTGCTGCTGCTGCTGCTGCTGCTGCAAATTCTTCTCCTTCTGAGCCCTCTGAACATACTGGGCCTCTCTACCCTGTCTCCGTCGATCCCTCGCCCGCTGCAGCTTTAGCGCAGCAGCAGCAGCAGCAGCAGCAGCAGCAGGCCACGGCGCATCAGCCTGCGGTGTACATTCACCTAAAGAGGGACTGCAACAGCAACTTAAATTCACGCAGCAGCCGCGGGCCAGACGAAGCTAAGCAGCAGCCAGAGAGTCAGAAACAGCAGCAGCAGCAGCAGCAGCAGGAACCGCAGGAACAGCAGCAGCAGCAGCAGCAGCAGCAGCAGGAACCGCAGGAACAGCAGCAGCAGCAGCTGCTGCTGCTGCAGGACGCATGTGGGGCCCGCTGCTGCACTTCTGTTTGTGTCCAGGTGGCGACTATACGTGCATCAGGCGAAGCTGCCTTTGTGTGCGCTGCTGCTGCTGCTGCTGCTGCTGCTGCTGCGGACCTCCGCATCGTGGCTGCTGCTGCTGCTGCACTCTGGGGGCACCAGGCAAAGGGGGGACTACAGGAAGCAAAAGAAAGAATTAGAGGAGCAGTAAAATGCCAACATGAGACACAAGAGACTCATGTATGGCTCCCAAAGGGAATAGAGGACAAGGCCGCTGCTGTGAAGCAGCAGCAGCAGCAGCTGCAGCAGCAGCAGCAGCAGCAGCAGCTGCAGCAGCTGAGGGTCTCCGTCGCCTTTGAGGGTTTCTCAGTCCGTGTCTTCGCCGCTCAACCAGCGCATGCAGCACAGCGCCGCTCGCCTTTCGGGGCTGTGCCTGCTGCTGCTTCTGCTGCTGCTGCTGCTGCTGCTGCTGTAGCAGAGCGGCCTCTACCCAGCATCAGGAGCCTCAGAAGCAGCCCCTGGATGGCTGCGGAGCAGCAAAGGGAACTTTTGTTGCTGCTGGGGGGTGGGCTTAGGGCTGACTGCAGTGGAGCTGAGATCACTCTTTCTCCGCAGCAGCAGAGTCCCATTTGCTGCTTCAGACGCGCTAGCAGCAGCAGCACCAGTAGCAACTGCAGCAGCAGCAGCCCCCGCTGCAGCTGCAGCAGCAGTGGCAGTTATTCAGATTCGAAAACTCTCTCCCTTCGCAGCGCGGGTCCCTCATTAGCTGACTCCCCCTGCTTGTTGGATGAAAGCAGCAGAAACGGCAGCAGCAACGGCAGCAGCAGCAGCAGCAGCAGCAGCAACAGAAGCACCACGGACGACCGTTGCCGCAGCGCCGCTGCGGAGGACTGGGGAAGACCCTCTCTGTTTTTGTCTCTGAAGGACTTCTGTCTCTTCACTCAACCAATAAACAGCCAGTGCCGAAGCATCGCCTGCCGCAGCAGCAGCAGCAGCAACAGCAGCAGCAGCAACAGCAGCAGCGGCGACAGCAGCAGCAGCAGCGACAGCAAAGCCGAAGCATGGTTGCCCGTGTTGATGCCCGTTTCTTGCCACTTGATGGCTTCAGTGCCGCATGAGTACCCAGCAGAAGCAGCAGCAGCAACAACAACTGCAACAGCAACAGCAGCAGCAGCAGCAGCAGCTAGAAACCTGGCGAAGCCCCTCCGTGTTTCTGTCTCAATGCATGTGGAGCCTCTCGGCCTATCAGCCAGCCCCTTAGTTATTTCGTCACTTACTGCCTTCTTTGCTGCAGCAGACAGCCAGGCACTTCTTCAGCAGCAGCAACAGCAGCAACGGAAGAAGCAGCAGCAGCAGCAGCAGCAGCAAGAGCCGCAGAGCAAGCTGCAGGTGGGACCCTGCGGTTCGCCGCCGTCTCCAAGTGGTCCTGCCGCGTCTTTTTTGCTTCCAGTAGCAGAAGCAGCAACAGAAGCAGCAGCAGCAGCAGCAGCACAGAGGCCAGAGGCAGCAAATGCGCACCAGCCGCTTCCTTGTACCATCAGCAGCAGCATCAGCGGCGACAGCAGCAGCGACACCAGCAGCGACAGCAGCAGCAGCGACAGCAGCAGCAGCGACAGCACCAGCAGCAGCGACAGCAGCAGCAGCAGCAGCAGCGAGTGCTTCTATGACGCATTTGACCCTGTTGAATTTGGCCTTTCTGATGACTCCCAGCAGAGCTGGGGCGTCCCTGTGGGGCCCTTTGCAGCAGCGCATGCAAATATAATGCATGCAGGTATATTGCATGCAAGTATGGTGCATGCAAATGCAGTGAATGCAGGCACGTTGCATGCAAACAGCATGCATGCAGACGCATTGCATGCAACTGCCGTGCATGCAGCTGCGCATGCAGACCTGTATGCAGGGGCAGTGCATGCATGCACCCCGCGTGCGCCGCTGCGTGCGCTTGGGGCTGGGGCCGCAGCAGGAGCTGCAGCAGGCGCTGCAGCAGGTGCTACAGCAGGCGCTGCAGCAGGAGCCGCGGCAGGAGCTGCAGCAGGAGCTGCAGCAGGAGCTGCAGCGGGCGAGGCCCAGGGAAGCCCTGGGGGCCCCTGGGAGCCCCCCCCGTTTGTACCCTTTTTTGGGGGCCTTTGCTGCATCTGTGGGGTTTCTCTCGAAGTGGCGCAGGTCTTCTGCATCCTTTGCTGCCCGCCCCACGACGCGCCCCAGCAGCAGCAGCAGCAGCAGCAGCAGCAGCAGCGGAGGCGCGCGCAGCGACTGTCTCCGCTGCTGCTGCGGGCTGAGGGCCTCGCCCTCTGCAGGCCCCTCCAAGGGGGCCCCCTGGCCTTCGCCTTTGTGGCGGACTGCAGGCGAGTGGCTTTGAGGGTGCAGCTCGAAAACGCAGTGCAGCAGCAGCAGCAGCAGCAGCAGCGGCAGCAGGGGGAGGAGGGCTTTGGGGTTTTGTCGCGCGTCTCCGGGGATGTCTCTGTCTCTTCGTTGGCTGTTTGGGAGTCAGAGGGGCCCTGCTGCTGCGAGGCCGACTCCAGGATGCACAAGGAGGGGTCTGCTGCTG